ATATGTTTGGAGTAAAATGTGACGAAATGCTGCGGAGTTCTTCGCAGAACCGCTGTCCACGATGTGTTAATACGAACGCACCCTTGAACTCCCGCATGAAAGCCCTTTTGGATTGGGGTCCTTTTGAGGAGATGAAGTGATCAGTCCCTTTCTGAAGGAGTCTCTCCACCCGGTCCTTGTCCTGGTGACGCTCGGCGTTCATCGGTTCTGGTGGTAATGGCTCTAGCCCAAGAGCTATCCGAAATCGTATGATGTGTTTGGCTTATCTTCGATTTCTCGGTTAATACCGCTACACCCTTGGTCTTCAGCCGTTAAAGGAGTTTAGAATTCCAGCTTTATTTGCCTTTTCTTTCATTAATTCCGAGCTTCCTCCTCTTCAGCCATGCCGTCCAAAAATTTTGGCATCGCTAACTCGATGAGGTCTTTCTTATTGCGTCATTTCCAGAACAGCAATGCGTACTACTATTTCATTTTAAACAGTCATCCAAGTTCGCTGGTCTTTTCTCTGTTAGTGGTTAGTGTTTTGAGTTCACTTAGTTTAAAGTGGTTATTCTGTGCCTCCCTCTATTTTTCCCTTTTTTCACTATTTCCTTGTTTCTACAAATGCTGTGTTTGTTTTGATTAACTGACTGTTTTTGTTGTAGTGCGGTAATGGCCGCAAATAAAATGAAAATGAAAATGAAAATGAATAGCAGTTTTGAGCAGTCATTTTGGGCTGATAATTATACCGTTTTCATGCTGGTTTGAAAAATTGGATTCAGATCGAGAAAACTGGCCTTCGCGAATTACGACGGACGCTACTAAATGGACTTTCTGAAGACCTCGAATCTCAGCCGTTGAATAACAATGTGCGCTCCACTCTTATCGGAATCGGGAATTTCCTATTTTACTCGCGAGGAAAGGTTCGTTTCAAAATATTATGTCGCTGAAACAGCCCTAAACTGCTTATTCAGTTTTAATTTTAGTATTATTCAGAATTTTCGTTTCTCAATCTTTCCCTTGCAGTTCGCGGAAGAGCTGGTCCCTCTACTCATTAAGACACTGGCGATTCTTCCACAAATGAAGTGGGTCGATGATGGCCTACTCAATAAAAAGGACAGTAAGTAAAATTCTAAATCGTTTCCATTGTAAAGGTGAAAGATAAAATAACTTTCACGCGCAGGAGTTCCTCTAATAACTTCAAACGCGCAGAGGAGCTATCCTCTACAAGAGCAATTTGACCTTTCTGCTTCAATCCGTACCTATCCGCATCTCGCTGCTTATCTTACGTGCTCCATCGGATGGCGAATCACTACAGCGCGCAGGTTCGTTATTTATACTTCAAACTAATTTTGTTCGTTATATTATGAGCGTCGTAATGAATTAAGCCATGACTTTGCATTCCTCACGCAGCATGGCTAGCGTTTTTGCCATCACATTTGGCTTAGTTGGGGCTAGCAAATGTTATCTCAGCGCACGGCTTAGTTACAGCACACCTATGTGAAAACCGATGCAAATTCTTCGGATCTTGAAATACTTGTAGCCATTTCGTTAGCTTCTCACTAACTCTCGCGGATGTTAACCCGCTTTGAATTGTTGTTAGTGGACTAGCGAATGGCACAATCCCCCCCCCACACCCCGGGCAAACAGGGCCTTCTTTTCGAAATCTACGAACTTCCTGAAATGCCTGGCAAAAAATGTGATGGCGCTGCGAAGCGTCTGTTCGGAAAATTGGCGGGACACGGGCAGACCATGGCAGGACGGACACGGCTGTGTCGCGCGCCTCTTTATCCGAGAATGCTCTTTCCTCCAGGCTCAGATTTAGGCTGCCGTTAGTGAATACATTCGGCGCTTTAGGAGGATTGGCATTTTGAGCGAATGCGCGAAAGGGAAAGTATAACCGATATGGTGTCTCGACGACACGAGCGTCGTGGTCGAAAGAGAAAATATAGGTATCAAAATCTCAGAAAAAAGAATAGCTCGAAATGTCGATTCATTCAAGTCATAAAGTATGAACGCAGTCTTGAACAATCAATGACAAACAGACAATATATGACTTAGCCCAGCCAAGCGTCTCTTGTCTTTTTTATTTTCGCCAAGTGTCTCTCTGGCTACTATGGAACCGCATTTCTAATAATTTTATATTTTTTTCTCAGTGTGTATTACTTAAGATCGATGCGTTGGCCTGTGCCGTAACCTCTATTCTCGAGATCTTGGAAGATCATGAAAACACTGGTCATTCGAAAGGTATGCTACTCTCATGCTTATTATCGATTTCGCTCTTCTCTTTGGAGCCTTAAAGTCATTTCTTGATCGTTCCATTAAATATGAAGTTCTTGGAATGATCGAGAAACATTCATTTTAGACAGTTACCCAAGTAAAGTATGCTTTCAGCCCATCTCCTCAGACTCACATGCTATGTGATGGGTTTACTACGGTCGTTAGGGCGATACACTGCGAATCCAGACAGGCCTTTGATCTCATATGTATTTCCGGTCGAGTTTCAGATTCCAGTCGAAGGCAGCGGAAACGATAAAAAGGGGTTTGTGTCTTTATGAGTTGGGCAATTTTTTAATAGGTCAGCATTCTTTCACGTGGAATGGCATGTGAACGTACTTCCTGGGTTGGCTCTTCTGTGGCAAACAGCGAATTCACTCGCACCGGAGGTTGTGTCGAGCTGGCGTGAGGGGAGCTTCCTCCTCCAACTAGCTCTCAGAAATACCGAAAGGGCACGCCATCAACAAAAGAAAAACTGAAAAAGTGGATGCAGCCCGCGGTGAGCGGAAAAAATGATTAAAAAAATCGAAAAAACTGTTTCCAGGCCAGATAACCACTTTCCTTCGATCCCCCCCCCTCACTTATGGGGGTTTATCTTCACGGCACAAACAGTCCCCGTTGTGCTGACCGTAGACAAGGCAGTAGTCCGACTCTAACCTTCCTAATTAATACACACAGTGCGAGGGAATCCTCACGATAGAGTGGTGCGTTTATTTCAACTCAGTGACTTGTTGAATTGCTCGACGTTGAAGCATTCTGGTTTCTGAGAATGCATGAACATTTTCCCCTTCCCTGTTCGAGAGTTTGTCATGGGAAATTACCGAGTAAGAGGTAGTACGGAAGAAAGGGGGAAAGATGATGTTGATCTCTTCGCTTGAAAAAGGGTCGTGCTGGAAACAGGTCTAATTGGAGGGGGGGGGGACAATCGTACTTAACCTCTCATTATTCTAGCGTGCGCTGGTCGAGAAGGTGACCACTCTCAGTAACTGCCGTGCAATTTACCCTTCTCTGTAATCACCTAAATGTTTTTCTATGAAGATTATACTATCTTCTCGTGTTTCTTGATAGATTCTGTTGTACTTTTGTCAGTCGCTCGTTTTTAAGCCCGGACGTGCCTCGTATAAGCTCTGATGATACGTGGGCATGGTTAGATGGAGGAGTTGTGCCTGTGCCTTCAGAAAAGGAAACCACAACGAGTAACGCGCAGCGTCTAGTAAAACTCTATAACAAATACGGAGCAAGTTTCGTCTGTTCTCACACCGAAACGAAGGACGCTGTCCACTTTGTACTGACCAATAAGGAGCTGGAGGCTCTTTTTGACACGGTAGGCCTTTTGACCTGTACTCCAGGCTAAGACAAGCATTATAATTAGGATAAATGGCTGAGTTCAGGTGCAACAACTGCTCAAGAAAGAAGTGCTCATGCAGCTCGATAATCATGCTACGGATGTGTATACGGTTAGTTACCTTCCAAGCCTTAATTACCGTTTAAGCAACGTTCAGACTTTGCAATGACGCGCGTCGACGCGTTACAATTGCAACAGTGCAATAAAGGAGAACGCAGACGCTGACGGAAATCGATATCGATCGGCGCCGGCCACTTCTGTATTGAGAGAGTATTGGGGAACCGGGGGATACGCGTTGCCTGACCACGCAGTCTGGTATCGATTGGCGTGATCGCTAGGGCATTGAGAGAGATCACAGAAAAATAGGAGAGTAACAAATAGTGCGGTTGTGTCCTGTTATCCTACGCTCAGAAAGGGCGAGTGGCCGGTGCCCA